GTTTGACATCTTTGATACAAGTAACGAGTTCACTTCCAAGTGAACAACCCGATAGTCTTCTTCTTATCATAGCATACCAACCAGCGAACACCCAGCCAAGTTTAGTTAGCCAGTTTGAGTATTCGTTACATTAGACCTAGGACCCGTCTTTAGTTTCTATAAATACCTAGTTTCCTTCAAAATACTCCGAATTATATAATCGGAAGTTCCTAGCGTTATTTATTTTCGAAGCTAAAAAATACTCTTCTAGGTTCTCCTTAACCTTCTTTTAAGGAGTATAATAAGCTACCTCTATAAATTATTGTAGCGCCTTAATACCTCCTTCTCTCTCGCCTACCTTCGAGCTATAACTATAGCCCTATATACCTACTCCCTTTCTATTCGCTTTATTAAGTAAATCTCCCTATAGACGTCCTAGTATATATTCTTATATAATTTATAAATTAGATGCTCTTTAATATTCCTTGAAACCTTAACAAAGTCTCTAAAACGCCTCCGAATCTCCTCCTAGAGCTCTATATTTCTCTTATAAAATATATAATACTAAAGATAAATTTCCTCTTATAGCCCTCTTAAATATATAGCCTCTACTACTTTATAATACGCTTTAATATCTTGTAATAATATAAGACCTTTAGTATCTATTACTAATATATTAGTAATATAGCTAATCTTATAGAAGAATAGTAATGTCTAATTCTTTAATATAAATTAATAAGAGTAGACTTAGTAGTATAATAATAATTAGATTTACTATTAACTTAAAAATTAACAAAGTATTAACTTAAAAATTAACAAAGCACGTGATTTGTGACACTATCCCCTTTTTAGCCTAGCGTGTCCCTACGCTTAAGTACGACCTAAGAAATATCGTCTGAAGGCCAGCGACCTTCTCCTCTCTTCAACATGCCACCCGATCGTCACAACGACCGAAACAGTAGACTCCTTGGTGACGCTATTGAAAAGACTGGAAGAAGAAATATGGCGCGTTGTTCCCGTTGTGAGAAGAATGACCGTCCTTGTGTTGCACCTCGCGACAAAAACATTCCCGATGTGCTGAATGTACTCGTCAAGGCAAGACTTGCGATGTTCGACAAGTTAATCGAATGCCTTCAGTTTCGGAGTGGGAGTCGCTTGAGAGTAAGCGGCGAAAGTTACGGGCCGCTCGCGACGAGGCCCTCCGAGCCCAACAAGATGCGATTGCGAAAGTCCTGCGAATCAGCAGAGAGGAAGAATCTCTCGATGCTAAGGAGCAAAGGATGATAGCAGCTGGTCTCAACTCTCTTGACGAGTTAGATGCTGCGGAAGAGTTGGAAAAGAAAGAAAAGGAGGAAAAGGAGAAAGAGGAGGAGGGGGAGAGAGAGACGGCCAGGCTGGCCGCACTCACTACCCCTACCGACTCTGACCCGGTCCTCGAACTGGGTCTCGACCCGGCCTTCTTCGAGGCTTTTCCTTCTGACCACGAGATGTGGGTAAACCTGGGTT